TGTATGCCAAAAGTTATCAAACAAATTTTGATCAATTGGTCGATGTGCTGTCCAGTTGAGAAAGTGAGATTGTATATTTTGTTTGATAAGGTTTGGTTCAGTAATTAGTTGATCAGGAAGTTTGATATTAAAAAAGTGGATTGGAGGTTTGTAACGATTAAGAATACTATTGATAGCTTGCTTAGGATGTGTTAAAAGAGTTTCACATCTTTTTTCAGTTGCTTGATATATTTGTTGTCAGAGTAATAGTGAGTTTTCAACATGACAAGCATGATAGAGTTGCTTCTATGTATCTTGTGCATGTTGAATCCAGCTGTGTAGGTTATTATTTAAAGTAAAAGCTTGAAGATTACATTTAGATTTATTGTTAATAATTTGAACTTTAACATTGATCAGTATTAAGATTGTCAGAGCTTTTAACATTTTTGATTAAATGTCCAAGCTTTTTTAGTGATAAATGAAGTAATGTAGAATGAGAGGTTGAGATATTCTTATTATATTGAGTTCATAATAGTCTTTATATTTAGAATAATAATAATCTATGTTATTAAAATCTGATTCAATTGTTATAAGAATAGATAATTTTTTTTAAAATTAAGATGTTCTCTTTGGTCTTTTGACTTTTTATTAATAACATTTTTTTTAGTAATATAATTCAATGAACTACTACAGAAGAGTATACAATTGGCTATATATGTAACTTTTTTATATTACTTATTTAAGAAGTTTATCTAAAGGTTTCTTACAATTGCTATATCTAACATTTTTGCTTAAGTGCTCTACTTTAAACTCTCAGAATCTGCAATCTGTATTAATATTACTTGGTTATATCCAAATGCTCAGATTATTATTTTAAGCTTGAGACTATTTTATCTTTAAAGTAAACCTTCTAAAGTCTTTTGTACTCATTTTTATAACTAACTCAGTATTGCTATAATAGAACCAACACTTGTAGTTAGGTTTAACTATTAAACTGCTATGCTCTTATATGTATATACATATTTACTTTGTATTAATATAATAATATAATACTTATTGTTATTAGATAGTACAAACTATTACAATTAAGGATATTTATAATCACATTGTTTCTAAAAATTACTAATTAAAAATTAAAAAAAAAGGACAATTTGGAAAAAAATATTGTATCATATCTCTGCATCTTCTAAGGTTACTTGTTGAATTATATGAGTATAATAAAGAAAGTGTTATTAAAATTCTTAAAGGTTTACACTATCTTGCTTCTTTATTAAATAACTATTTTAAAGTTATACCTTCTATGCTTGAAAAAAATATAGAAAAATCAGAAGCAACTTTAATATTATATGAATCTTTTGTATTATTTAATAAAGAGCAAGTAAAAGCTTTGAAAAATTATTACAATGTACTGATGTTTAGTGATATTACTATTTCTATAAACTCAGAACAAAAACTTGAAATATGTAATAGATATTGTTTCACAAAGATATATATTTAAAATAATTATAGATTTATTCATAATTTATATTAACTATTTAATCTTATAGCTTTTATTATTAATTCATCTTATATTTAAAAATACTTTAATATTTAATCTGATACTTGTTCATTAGTATGATTTTAAACATCTAAACATTTCTTCAAAATTTTATAAATTTGAGTATCTTTATTTACAATTAACAAGTATTTATAATATAATTCTAATAGAATCAATAAATAATATTGTTCATATTGTTCCACAGTTTGATGTAATAAATTCTTATTATGTTAATATTTTCATATAACTGTATAGAATTTATATTTATATTTTTTTTGTTTATTTAATTTTTTACCATTTGCTGTATAATAGTAAGGGTTGTAATAAAAATTTTTGGCTTTTTTAACTTATTATATTTTATAATCCAAACTACTTACACAATTTTTTACAGTTTTATATATGTTTACAGTCTAATATTATATTGTTATATTAATTATACTAATAGTATATTGATATCATTATATAGTTACAAGAGGTGTGGTGACTTAGTAAAGTGGATAGGTTGTCAACTCCCAAGTTGCAGGTCTAGAGTTCAAATCTCAGTGACAGTGAAAATTTGCAATTCTTTCTGTGTTATGGCTAACTGTCTTCTATGATTGGTTAGGATAGAATACCTGTAACCTGTGTCATATCAGCCTGACTGGAAGGTCTAGGCATTCATGCAACATTGTATGAAGGAACACAAACCGGTACCGGGCAGTGTGAACCCAAGA